CCCCCCCCCCCCCAAGGAATAGAACCGAGGAATCCTGATTCCCAGCATGACCTCTGTTCCCACTGAAACCAAGGGGAGCTATGTGCTCTCTGCAGCTTGCAAGGCAAGTGGGCCACCAGGGGGCTTGGGGGGGTGATATCGAGAGGGCATCTCTTACCAGGGAGGGTCTCTCCCTGCTCTGGCCGGGGTGCCTCCTTCAGCACCTTCCCCCTCCTGCCAGCCAGAGGAAAGGGCACCGGAAAGGGATCTGCTGGGAGAGGACAAGGAAGCCAGAAACATTTTGAGAGAACAATGGAGACAGCCCCTAATCTCCTCTAGGGGGCGCTCTCCCCTGGCTGTCAGCGCTGATCCCAATGCCCCAGCCCAGTGCTAGGGGGCGCTGGGCACCAGGGAGCAGGGCAGGGGCTCAGTAGGGGGCGCTCTCCCCTGGCAGTCAGTGCTGACCCCGGTTCACAGCCCAGCGCTACGGGGTGCTGCACTGCAGGGCGATTGCATCAGGGCCTTGGTGTGTTGCAGTCTCTGTGCCTGCTCCCATAACCAGCCCCCAGCCCATCCCAGGTCTCACCTGTTCCTGGGGTGGGTTTGGTGGCTCTGGTCAGGCTCCCCACCGTTACGATGATGGCTTTGGTGAAGGTGTACTGGAACCGCCCGCTGCTCGGCTCCCCCACGCGGCTGCTGGGGCATGCCCCGGCCTGGGGCCCACACTGAAACTGACAAGGCTCAGACAGGCACCTCGTCCCAGTACTGGATGCTCACCCCCCCCAACCTTCCCAAGCCCAGCTTCTCCCTCCACCCTACTGGTCCCAGCCCTGAGGTCCCACCCACTTCCTGAGCCCAGCCACGCTGGTTCTAATTGGTATAGATCGGCACGGATTTGTCCTAGAGAAAGTATGCCCCCCCCAGCTGCTTGCCGGGGGTCACAACTGTGGCCAAGAGTCCTGACTCTTTGGTCCTGCCATGCGGGCAGGGGACTGGACTCGATGACCTCTCGAGGTCCCTTCCAGTCCTATAATCTATGATTCTATGACTCCAGCCACTGGACCCCAAATTCCCCCAGCGCTGGGGGTGGAAGCCAGGGGGCCTGGCCCTGTAAACACTAGACTCCATTCTCCTCCCAGAGCAGCCCCTGCAGCGTTGAACCCACGGGCAGAGTTGGCCCCCTGGGGCACCCTCCCTCCGCCCCCAGCAGGGACCATTGTACTGGCCTGGGGGATTCAGCCCCTGCCCTCCAGGTGCTCCCAGCATTGCCTGCAGCCCAGGGTAGAAATCCAGCCTGGGGGACAACCCCTGGAGGCAAGGGTAGAACTGGGGCAGGTCCACGCTGCCGCCTGAGCTAAAGGAGGCCCCCCCTTTGCCGCAGCAGTAGCTGGGCTTTTATCCTCCCGGTGTCATCCGGCAGCGTGGTACAGACCTTGGGGAGGGCGCCCCCATAGGCTCCAGCCTGGCCCTGGGGCTCCTGGGTGCAGAGGGCCAGGCGGCAGTGCAGGAATTGGATGGAGTCATTGTAGAGGGGCCGGAGCAGGAAGCTGAGGCGCTGTAGCTCCTGGGAGCTGGGGGACAATGCCCGGCCTGCAGCCCCCATGTGGGGCGGGTGCAGAGAGACGTCGGGGTGGGCCGGGCAGCCCCCCCGCACCAGGATGTAGGGTGAGTCCAGCGAGGAGGAGGAGCTTGGCGAGAGGAAGCAGAGGCGGATGCTGAAGCTAAGCCCAGGGTCGAAGGCAGCCAGCGCAGCCTGCACAGAGGGTTGGGGAGAGCTCAGGAGGGGATGGGATGCCTCAGGCCAGCTGGGTCCCACTCCACAAACATGATCTCACCCCCACGCCTGGAACCCAGGAGTCCTGGCACCCACCCCCGTTCTAATCCCTGATCCTGCTCCCCTCCCAGAACTGGGGATAGAACCCAGCCCCCTGTGCTCTAAATCATTAGAGCCCCGCTCCCAACCCAGAGCCGGGGATAGAGCCCAGCCCCCTGCTCTACTACCACCAATCTCACCTCCTGCCAGGTTAATATTGTAACTTTCTCCACAGCTCCTGCCCCAGAGCCTGGAGCAATCCCCCTGTGGGTGTGGAAAGGGTCTGGGGGAGAGGACCCCACAGCTCCAGCAGGTTAACCAGCCTGGTGGGGGGGGACCTAGCTAGCACAGCCCCTCATAGATCTGCCCTCCCGAAGGTGATGGGGCCCTGGGCAAAGCCCCAGGCCTGCTGGGGTAGAGGGGAGGAGGATCCCAGTGCCATGGGGCTGGATGGCGCCTCCCCCGCAGTTACTTCCACAAAGACGCGGCTGTTGGCCGACACCGTGCAGGGTCCCTGGGCCTTGGCGAAGGCCTCGGAGCTGTAGACCTCCAGGCTGAGCAGGACACGGCCCAGGTGAAAGGGCAGATCCGGGATGGGCTCAGCAGAGCGGGACGGCTGGCTCAGGGCTGGGGAGGAGCAGGAGAACTGTGGGAGAGGAGCAGAGGGTGTGGGGGGTATAGGGGACATGGGGACCAGCCCCCAGAACTCCAGTCCCAGAGACTCCCCAGTTATCTCAGTCTTCCCAAACCCTAGGACACCTCCCCAACCAAGGCTCTCCATCTCCCCACGGCTGCTGCTCGGTCCCCACTGAGCCAGGAGCCCTTGGGAGCCAGGAACCCCCAACCCAGCCCAGGGTGGTTCGCAGCGGGCCCAGTGCTGCTCCCAATAGTTTGGGAGGGAACCCACCAATCCCAGGTCCTCCCCTATTGAAAGGACCTGAGAGACCCACCCCACAGCGGCGCCAGAACCACCCGGCCAAAGACACCTCCCCTCCCCCCTCGCCCACCTCAATGGACTCCGAGCTATCTTCAGCCTGTCCCACCGGGAGTGGGGGACCCCTGGGCACTGCCCCTGGCCTGCTGCCCCGGAGCACCACCTGGGGGGAGGGGAAAGTGGGGGGAAGGGTGGAGAGCAACCGGCACAATCAGAAACATGGGAGCATCAGACAAGACCCCAGCACCCCAGGATGGTGGGGGCAGAGCCCAGAGCCAGGACCAATTCTCCCTGCTCCACAGAATTCCAGTTCCCTCAGTCCTCCCATTAACCCCAGCCTTAGAATCATAGAAGATCAGGGTTGGAAAGGACCTCAGGAGGCTCTAGTCCAACCCCTGCTCAAAGCAGGACCAATCCCCAACTAAATCATCCCAGCCAGGGCTTTGTCAAGCCGGGCCTTAAAAACCTCTAAGGAAGGAGATTCCACCACCTCCTTAGGGAACCCATTCCAGTGCTTCACCACCCTCCTCGTGAAAGAGTTTTTCCTAATATCCAACCTAGACCTCCCCCACTGCAATTTGAGACCATTGCTTCTTGTTCTGTCAAACCTTCCCAATCCTCACTTCTCCCACTCCTCCCCAGTTCCAGTTTCCCAGTGTCACCCTGTTCTCCAGCCCTGTCCAGCCCCCATTGGCCCTGTCCTGGTCCCTCTCGACTCCCCTAACATTCTAGCCCCTTTGCAGACCCCCAGACTCTTTGACTTCACGTCTCCCCCCACCCACATGCACTCTCAGCCCCACATTGTGCCCCTTATCCCCCGGCTCACCGCATTCTGGTACCGCCAGACGCCCAATGTGGGGTCCAGGGCCGGGATGCGCAGGGCACCGCAGCCAGCCAGGGGAGACTCCAGCAGGAAGTGGGTGCCATTTGACTGGGCTGCACAGCTGGGGTCCCGCAGGGTCACTCGGGCTGGGGAGAGTCTGGCAGCCTGGCCGAGGCAGGTGGGGGGAGACTATGAGACTGATACAGCCAGCACTGACTGGGAGGGGTGAGCGCCCCCTACTGAGCCCCCGCAGTACAGCGCCCCCTAGTGCCACCCTGGGGCCAGCACTGACTGGGAGGGGAGAGCGCCCCCTACTGAGCCCCCGCAGTACAGCGCCCCCTAGTGCCACCCTGGGGCCAGCACTGACTGCGAGGGGTGAGCACCCCCTACTAAGTCTCCCCCACTCCCTGCAGTACAGCACTCCCTAGTGCCGCCCTGGGGCCAGCGCTGATTGTGAGGGGAAAGTGCCCCCTGCTGAGTCCCCACCACACTCCCTGCAGCACAGCGCCCCCTAGTGCCGCACTGAAGGAACTGTTTATACAAGGGGATTCCTCACCTGGAGCATGTCCTTGTTGACATGAACAGCCACCCTATCGCTCAGACATGCCACAGACAGAGCTCCCGCCAGCCCCACAGCGCTTCTGCCTCCCGAGGCCGCCCGGACCATGGCAGAGATCTTGGCGGGTCTGGGGAGCGGGATGGAGGGGTGGGGGGCCTTGGGGTCCCCTAGCAGGAGAAAACAGAGTGAGGGGGCAGAGGGGAAGAAGGAAACAAGGCGGGATGGTGAACAGGGTGAGGGGACATGAGAGAGAAAGAGAGCAACTCTGCCCCCTGCTGGCTGGATTGAGAACTGCCCAGCTCTGTGTCCTAGTCCCCATATTCCCCCCCTTCACCATGGCACTGGGGTTTTAGATGTAATGGTGCCCTGGGAGGGGCAGACATGCCAGCTCTGAGGGCATTGTCAGGGGCATGAGCCTCGCCCATCACTGGGGGCCACCAAGGGTCTGGCTGTCCCTGGGGAGAGGGGGCCACAGGGCAGAACTGCAGCTCCCAGCTCCCCCCGCACTGGGGGCAGGGCAGGGTCTGAGTCAGGTGGGCCCCCTAATGGCCCCATGGCATTACACCTTGTGCCCATTCCCTGCCCCCAAGGAGATACCTACCATCCAGCCCCACGATGACCAGGAACCTGTTCACCTGCTCAGCCTCTGTGTAAGATGTGATCCCAGGCAGCCCCTGCTCCATTGCCCAGGCCATGGGGTCGCTGGCATAGGCCAGGCCCAGGGACATGCTGCTGCTCACAGCCAGGTCCGGTTCTGGTTCTGTGCTGCTGACCGAGACCTCGTGGGATGCCTGTAAGGAAATGGAGGGAAGGGCAGAGTGACAGAGCCCAAGGCTAACCTGGACCCTGCTCCAGCTCAGGGTGATCAGGCTGAGGCTGGAGCAGGGCATCATGGGTAATGCTATACAAATGAGCAGACCAGGTGAACAAGGTGTCAGCGCAAGGAGTGGCTGGGAAGTTCCAGAGAGGGGCAGCTCCACCTCAGCCACTGAGTCAGGAGCCAGAAGGCTTGGAACCAACGGAGCTGGGCTGGGCGCCAGGACTCCTGGGTTCACTTTAGCAAAAGGGGACACCAGGCCAGAGTGGGCTGGGGCCAGAAGGAGAAACCATATCAGAGGTTAAAGGTCATGAGGGCTCAGCAGACGCCATGGGGCATCAGGCCAAAAGGTCAGAGTCATGGGGGAGAGACTGGTTGGGGGGGAGGGGTCACAGGGGAGCAGCCTGTGTGCATGGATGGGTTGTGGATGGGGGGCTGTTCCTGGCCCCTGTAACCCCTCTCCCATTCCCAGGGAGCCCCCCTCTTACCAGGATTCGCAGGCGCCCGGCCATGTGGTGGATTCGGACCAGCCAGCTGGTGGCGCCCTTACTCTTCAGCACCACGATCAGCTCCCGCCGGGGCGAGCAGCAGCCTCCGGGTGCTTGGAGCTCCACAGTGAGATGGGCTGGGGGCCTGGAGACATGGCAGGGACCCCCCCCCCCATCAACTGGGCTGGAAATTTCCTGCCATGGGGCTGAGCAACAAAAGGGGTGGAGGACCCCCCCAGCTCTGCCAGTGCCCTTCTATCTCGACCCAAAGCCCCCTCTGTCCTTGCTGTGGGCTCCCCCCACCCCCCAGCTTTGCTGGTGCCCCTCAATCCTGATGCGTAGCGCTCCCCACCCCCACCCCCATTATCCCAGCCCTGGGCTCTCCCCTGCCCCCAGCTCTGCTGGTGCCCCTCAATCCCAACCCACAGCCCCCCACTATCCCAGCCCTGGAGGATGCTTTGATGTACGGTTCATACCCGGGCGTGGCTCCTTTGGAGAGGATGATGTGAACTTCAGGGTCCCAAGGGGGGTCAGAGGTCAGGCAGCCCCGCAAGGACCGTGGTTGGAGGTCGGAGGCAAAGTGGGTCGGGGAGACGAAGTTCCTGCGAAGTTTGCAGGCACCTGGCAAGACCCCATCTGGGAGCGAGAATGCAGAGGGGCTGGGGAGGTTGGGGGAGGTTAACCCCAGAGGTCCCTTAAGGAATGGGGGATTCCTGGGGTAGATCCCCCAATATCTCCCAGGGATTCCCTCCCTCAGGCACATGGGGCTGGGTCCAACTGCCGAGGTCCCCTCCCCCACTGAAATGGGGTCCGATCCCCAGCCCCCCTGGGTCCCCTCCCCCCATTGACATGAGGATCTGATCCCTACGTCCCATGGAGCCCCTCCCCCCACTGACACGGGGGTCCAATCCCCCAGCCCCGCCTGGGTCCCCTCCCCCCACTGACATGAGGATCTGATCCCCACGTCCCATGGAGCCCCTCCCCCATTGACAGGAGGGTCCAATCCCCAGCCCCCCTGGGTCCCCTCCCCGCACTGACATGAGGACTTGATCCCCACGTCCATGGAGCCCCTCCCCCCATTGACACGGGGGTCCAATCCCCAGCCCCCCTGGGTCCCCTCCCCGCACTGACATGAGGACTTGATCCCCACATCCTATGGAGCCCCTCCCCCCATTGACACGGGGGTCCAATCCCCAGCCCCCCATACCGTCTCCCAGCTGCACATAGACCATGTTGACGCCCCGATACGCAGCCAGGGAGCTGAGCCCGCCGTGCTCCTCATGCGCCCAGCGCAGGAGCCCTCGGGGGGTCTGGGGCAGCCGGGTCTCAGTGACAGTGACACCCCCAAGGGCCGAGACTCTGGACCCCAGGGACACCTGTAGGGAGGGCATAAGGGTGAGGGGTCACCGGGAGAATGGACATCCCATCCCCCGATGGGGTGCCACATATCCCCCACTCCCACCTCAGCTCCCCATCGCTCCCAGCCCCCACAGGACTCTTGGGTTCCTCACACCTCCTAGCCCCAGGGGTAACTGTCGGGGAGAGGATCCTCCAACCATCAATACCTCGGCCTCCCCGCCTGTGCCCCCACCCCCACTGCCCCTCAGCCTGAGAGCCCCTCCCCTATCCAGCCCCTCTCCACCCACCCCACTCCTCTCGCTGCCCCCGGGCCCAAACTCCTCTTCCTCCAAATGCTCCCAATTCCCCAGCCCCCACCCTGCCCCTCTGCACCTCATCCCCCTGCCCCACATCCAGAGACCCTGCTCCAGCCCCAGTCCAGAAAAGTGACCTCCAGCCCCCCCTTCCCACCCCTCCACCACCCCCACTGCTCACCTGCCCCTGTCACAGCTACCTCCACCCCCCCATCCACCACGGCCCTCCCCTCCTCCAATCCCCATTGTTGGCCCCACACTTCCCCCCCCCCACACCTGCGCCAGCTCCGCTCCTCACCTGCCCCAACCCTCCCATACCTCCTCCACTCTCACTGCTCCAGCTGCCCTGATGTCCCTGCCTTCCCCTCCCAGCCCTCTTACACCCCCTTCCCACCTTCCCCTCCCATAGACCCCCTCACCCGAGCCCCACAGCTGCCCCCCCACACCTGGAAGGTCCATTGCTCCCCAAGAGCCACCTGGGCCATTTGGAGGCTCCAGACCACGGGCGCCGGGGAGCTGAGCACGAAGATGGGGGCTCTGCCAGGGGGGGCTGGGCCCAGTTCTAGGCTCACCTGGGAGGGAGAAGAAGGCCCTGCATTAGGGGCTCCAGGCCCATAGGGGAGGGGCCAAGGGCATGGGGCTGGGGGCGCAGGGACGCGTGTGAGGGCTGTGGGGGCAGGGACATTTGTGGGGTCCAGGGCAGGCATGTAGCTGGCAGAGGGGCTGGGTCACCAGGGAGTGGGAGGCGAGGCTAGAGGAGAGGGGGCACATTGTGGTGGGGGTAGGGGGTGAGGCAGCAGGGTTGGGGGAAGGGGCGTGGTGGTGGCGCAGGCCAAGGGGTTGGGATGGGAGGTGGTGGGGACAGGAAGCAGGACTATGGAGCTGGGGGCTGGGGACAGGACTGGGCGAGGGGGTATGGGGCACAGACTGGAAGGGAGGCATGTGGGATGCAGGGCAGGGCGCAAGGCTGTGGGGTACAGAGTGGAGGGGCAGGAGGCAGGGTGGGAGTACAAGATGAAGGGCAGGAAGTGAGGGGGATGGGGCAGGGTGGGGGCAGGGAGTGAGGAGAGGTGAAAGGGCCAAGGTAGAAGGTAGGGAGTGAGGGGATGGGGCAGAGGGAAGGGGCAGGCTGAGGGGCACAGGGTGGAGGACAGAGACCAGGAAGGTCGGGCAGACAGAAAGGGTCAGGGTGGAGGGCAGGGGGTGAGACGGTGGAGTTGGGGGAGAGAGCAGGGAGAGGGCACAGGATGGGGCAGGGGGCAATGGAGCTGAGGTGGGGGGCCCAGGGTGAGGCTGGAAGAGGACAGGGCAGGAACACCCCCTCCCACCTACCTGTCTGGCTCCCATCCTCCCCGCTGGCCCCCGTAGGACAAGCACATGCACCTCCCGGCCCGAGGCCGAGCGCCCCCGGCTGGCGCAGCCCGAGCCTGCGCGGATCCGCTCCCAGAAGCCCAGCACAGGGTGGCGAGTGGACAGCGGGCTGGGCCGGCACAGGGCCCAGCGCCAGGCGGCTGTAGAGGAGAGAGAAAGGGCCCGGTCAGCAGGAGCCAGACATAGGAGTGCAAAGCCCAAAGTGGGGGCAGCTGGTCTGTGCCCGGAAGGGGAAGCTCCTGCCCCCCAGAAATGAACAGGAGCAGGGGGAGCTGGAGATCATGGACAACAGCAGCCAGGACTCCTGGGTTCTATCCCCAGCTCAGGGAGGGGAGTGGGGGCTAGTGCAGCGGTTCTCAGACTGGGAGTCGTGAGCCCTCAGCAGGTTGCAGGGAGGTTGCGAACTGCCAGTTCCACAGAGCTCACAACCCCAATTAAATTACCCAAGGGAGGGGGGGGTCACTCTCGGTGGCTTGCTGCGTGAAAAGGGTCACCAATACAAAAGGTATGAAAACCACTTGTCTAGGTTAGAGGGGAAGCAGGACACTGGGACACACATTAACCATTTGATGACACCCCTTCTCCGCCCATCGATCTCCCAGTGGGGCCAGACTGGCCTCCCCATTCCCCTGGCACCTACCTGCCGACTGGCCCCACAGCAGCAGCAGCAGCAGGATTGGGCTCCAAGCTGCCGCCATCCCTCGCGGTCCCGGTGTGCGGGGCTCCCCGATCCGACGGGGGGATGGGGGAGCTGGTCCTGGGCAGGGAGAAAGAGAAAACTGTAGTGAGTCCTGGGGGGGCTCTGGGACCCAGGGCAGAGGGAGCTGTGTTGGGGAGGGGCCATGGGGCTTCAGGGCAAGGGGGGGCACCCAGGGACCCGGTCATTCACAGTGTGTCTGGGATGCAGCATGTACCTCCCCCATCCCCACACGAGTGGGTCAGTGTTTCTCCCTGGCTGAGACCTGGGATCCTCCCCCGCACACAAGAATCCAGATTGGGGGGGAAAGCATGTGAAACAAGGACACCCCCCAGGAGTGTCCCCCCAAGTGGCAAAGGGCAGGGGGCTGCTACAGGGCAATAATGAGATTTCCCTCTTGGTATTTAGACACCTCCACCTTTATGGGACCCCACTATCCTCCCCACTACCTCTTCCTGCTTAGCAGGGAATCCCCATCCCCTGCTCCCAGACTCCTTCCCCCTCCCCGATTACCCAGTTTGGGGTGGGGTGGGGGAGAAGGTTTACCTTCACGATTGATGCATCTCAGAGTATTTTGCAGAGATTAATTTTGCCTCCCAATTCCCCAGGCAAGGAACTTCTTGCCTTTATTGTAATTTTATAGATAGGAAAACTGAGGCACAGAGCGGGTAAGGGATATGCCCAAGGTCCCACTGATTTCCAGCCCCCTGCTCTAACCACTAGACTCCATCTCCCTTTCCAGAGCAGGGTAAAGAACCAAGGAATCTGGACTCCCAGCCCCCAACCCCCCTGCTCTAACCCTAGACCCCAGTCCCCTCCCAGAGCTGGGGATAAAACCCAGGAGTCCTGTCTCCCAGCCCTCCCTGCTCTAACCACTAGACCCCACTCCCCTCCCAGAGCTGGGGATAAAACCCACGAGTCCTGGCTCCCAGTGCCTCTTCAGTCTTGTTCCATGCAGAAACATTCCCCTTCCCTCCCCATTCCCACCCCACATTCCAGCTACCCCTACCCTTCCCTGACATGCCGAGGGGCTGGCTCGCCCCTGGGGTACCTCTTCTGGGACTGCCACACAGTCTGATCCGGTGCCAGCTGGATCCAAGACAGACGCAAAGTTGGGAGGGGACCAGACCCCAATCCAGCCCCAGCTCACATTCAGCACCCGTGGAACAGGGTCATTGCAAACTCCATTCACGCGCAGGCTGCCGGGGGCAACTTTACCTCACAGCAGCATTGATCGCAGAACAGCAAAGAGGCTTTGAGGTGGTGGGGGGTTCTGGGAGCCAGGACTCCTGGGTTCCAGGTGGTTGTGGGCACAGGATGCAAAGGGATCTTGGCTCTTTTATGCCAGTCCAGGAAGCAGTGGGTTCCTGGGGCTTAGAGATCCATGGCCATCGGGTCCCTTTGCTCTGGCTGGATTCATTGCTCCCTGCAGCGAAGTTAAAAATAATTGGAAGAATACAAATAATCTGGCTCAATTGGAGGTTTAAAAATAACTCCCCAGGGTCAGGTTACCGGAGGGGAGGGGAGGGGAGGGGAGGGGAGGGATTAGACTCCCAATGGTTGTTTTTAAGGGAATAGAACCCAAGAGTCCTGGATCCCAACCTTCTCCTCCCAGAAATGGGCATAGAACCCAGGAGATCTGCATCCCAGCCCCTTCCCCGCCCCCCACTCAAAAAGATGCCAGTCCCGGGTAGGGCACAGACAGAGAAATGCTCTTTATCAACAAAGTGAACCCCCCCCTCCCCCCCGTCCACTGTTGATGTGCCTTACCCCAGAGCTGGACGCAAACTCCCAGGTTTGGTCTCCCAGCGTAACTCCACTCGTCTGCCTGTCTGTAACCAGGCAAGCAGGGAGTGAACCTCTGGCAAGGCTGAGCCCTGTTGCATTCATGTCGCCCTAGCTGTTGAGCGCCAGGAGGTGGGAGGTCCCAATCTCCCCCATTGTCCCTGCCCCAGATGAAGGCCAGGAGGAAAAAGCTGCCCAAAGGGGGAGTTTGGGTCGCCCCAGAGGTGGGTGGATTTATGAGTAACGCAGGTAGGGTGGAAGAGGTGCTGGGTTCCGGGCCATGCAGCCAAACCCTGGG